TTTAACTTTTCGGGGAGCCTCCATACTGTTTTCTACAGTGGCTGCCCTGGTTTATGTTCCCACCAACAGTGCATGAGGGTAAAAAAAAGAAAAGAAAAAACTTAAAAAATGGGGTGGGGTCCCTGGCTGGCTCAGACAACAGACCATGTGACTTTTGATTTCAGGGTTGTGTATTCGAGCCCCACATTGGGTGTAGAGATTACTTAAAAACAACAAACAAACAAAACAAAACCCAAAGAGTACACAAAAAGGGTTCTTCTTTCTTCATATCCTTGCCAACACTTGTTTCTTACGGTTTTGATTTTAGCCATCCTGACAGGTGTGAAATGATACCTTGTTGTTTTGATTTGCATTTCCCTGATGATGAGTGATGTTGAGCATCTTTTCATGTGTCTGTTGGTCATCTGTATGTCATCTTTGGAGAAATGTCCGTTCATGGTTTCTGCCCATCTTATAATTGGATTGGTTTTTTTTGGTGTTGTGTAAGTTCTTTATTATTTTGGATACTAACCCTTTATCAGATATGTCATTTGCAAATGTCTTCTCCCATTCAGTAGGTTGTCTTTTAGTTTTGTTGATTGTTTCCTTTGCTGTACAGAAGCTTTATTTTGTTTTTAAAGATTTTTTTTTATTTATTTGACAGAGAGACAGCGAAAGAGGGAACACAGGCAGGGGGAGTGGGAGAGGGAAAGCAGGCTTCCCGCCAAACAGGGAGCCTGATATGGGGCTGGATCCCAGGACCCTGGGATCATGACCTGAGCCAAAGACAGTCGCTTAATGACTGAGCCATCCAGGCGCCCCGGAAGGTTTATTTTGATGTAGTCCCAATAGCTTATTTTTGCCTTTGTTTCTCTTGCCTCAGGAGACAGATCTAGAAGAGTGTTCCTGCAGCCAGTGTCAGGAATTACTGCCGGTGCTCTCTTCTAGGATTTTTAGGTTTCAGGTCTCATATTTAGGTCTTTACTCCATTTTGAGTTTATTTTTATGTATGGTGTAAGAAAGAGGTCCAGTTTCATTCCCCATTTTGTTTCTTTATGCTATTCTTTAATATTCTTTTTTTAAAAAGATTTTTTTATTTTAGAGAGAAAGGGAGCATGAGCTGGAGGGGCAGAGGGAAGAAAGAGGGAATCTCAAACAGACTCCATGCTGAGTGCAGAGCCCCATGCAGGGCTCAATCTCATGACCCAGAGATCATGACCAGAGCTGAAACCAAGAGTCGGATGTTCATCCAACTGCGCCACCCAGGGGCCTTGAGAAAATATTTTTTAAAGTTTTTGAAAAAAAGTCACAGTATTCTTAATTCATCAAAACAGAATGATAACAATGAAGTAATTTTTTAAAAAATTGATCTAGAATTTCAGCGTTTGAGAAGAATGAGATTTATGGGGCGCCTGGGTGGCTCAGTCGTTAAGCGTCTGCCTCCAGGTCAGGTCATGGTCCCGGGGTCCTGGGATCGAGCCCCGCATCGGGCTCCCTGTTCTTTGGGGGGCCTCCTTCTCCCTCTCCCTCTGCCCCTTGTGCTTGCTCTCTCTTTCACTCTCTCTTGAATAAAGAAATAAAATCTTTTTAAAAAGTGGGAGAAAAAGATTTAATTGGGAGAGGAAACGGGCAGCTGAGGATTCTGGTGAAAACTTTTCTGGAAGCACATTTGAGGGTTTCTGATGTTAAGTCTGAGACTGATTTTTTTATATTTTAAAATTAAAGTTTTTTGATAATTTTTTAATTTCATCGAGTATGTCATTTTGTGGCTTTAATAGATTAAATTTATATTTATTAATTTATAGTATGTCACTAGCATTTTGTTTTACCACTATTCTGATCCTTTAAAAAGTTCTCAGACAACGTTGATTTTTCAGAGTTGTAGATGAGCATAATTGAGAGGTAAGAGGAAAAGCTGAGGAGCAGAACATATATCCTGTTTGCTGGGTGTGGGGCATTGGGATACCCGAGAGAGATGGTACTTTGGTTGAGACACTTCTTTCTGATTACTACCAGGTAGCACCACTGACACAGGGTGACTAAACCTCTGCCTAGAATCAGAAGAGAAGGTTTTGAGAGCTGCTGTGGGGGTGGCATAGAGGGGTTTGCAGAGGTGTAGGCGGGGTGGTACTTGTGTATTCTTTTCCCCTTTAGAGATTTTGGTAAACTGAATGTTCATAAGGCAGGGAATGAAGCGTGAAGAATTTAAATCTTTATTATCTTTGATAATTCTGTTTTTTCTTTCTATACCTGTTACTCCTTCAGAAACAGGTAACATTTTTCTAACAGCCTTTATGTATTGTTGTTATGTATCTAACAAAAACAACCTTTTTGTATTGCATCTTGCTTTTATTATGCTTTTGGAGAATAATGAAAAATTAATATACTCTCACATGGCATTGGAAAAATCTGCATACAAATTCCCACGATTGCAATTAGATTATACCCAGTTGATTTTCCAAAGTTCACAGAAATCCTGGCTACAAGTTGTACTATTTAAATCCAGCATTGTTTTTTTTTTTTCCCCAAAAATCCAAACATGGAGTTTTCAGAATTTACAGTATTAGGTGTTGGTAATAGTGTAGAATGAAATATCCAGGTCTTCCTTCTAGTTAATAAATACAGTGTTGACCTGAAATACAGTGTTTATGACCAGGGTTTTTCCTCATTTTTGTGCTCACTCTCTACTTCTCATTTTTTTTTTTTTAACATCTTTCTCTAAACTCTTCACTCATCTTTAAAAAGGGACTTTCTTTGGAGGAGGTTTTAAAATTAAGGAATATCATTCTTAAGAGAAACACACCTTTTGTGTCCCCCCCCATTACTGCCTCGAAAGAAAGCTATCATGCTAAGTAACAACATGTGAGTAGTTAATTCCTTTTACAATATTGGTATTGTAAACAGAAATTTATGATAAAAACGTAGTAATGAAAAAAAAATAGGTTACTTAATAATGTCCTGTTAATAGAGCCTAAATTGTGATCAGCAGGGTAAAACTTGGTTCAGTGAAGTGTTAGATGCTTGCTTTTCCACATTGACTTCCATTCAGGGATCCTTTTTGATTTTATTCAGAATAATACTGATAAAAATATATTTATCAATTTGAATACAGCTTGGTTCAGTCCCTGTCTTTCCTAAATACTTTGACGTACACATGCACACATGTACACACACACATGTTATAGTGGGAAAAAGTCTATGTGGTTGTGTGAAAATATCTCTTGCTTTGAGCTTTAATTTCTTAGATAAGAAAGAGTATCATCTTTAATGCTGGGTTTCCATGTAAGTAAATATTTTATTCACTGAAGTAGTAGATGCTTCTCAAAAAACTAATGTGATTACAACACGAAATAGGATCAGCAGTATAAATTAATAATCGTACTGCTTTTTGTAGAATGTGACATGACTGGTTTGGAATTTTCCTGTAGTCTAGTTTTCTGAGAAAACAGGGAATTTCAGCATCCTAATGTAAGTTGTTATTGATGTTTTCTTGAAGCATTTCACGTTCTTGAAAATAAACATAGCAAAACTAATTTTTACCAAGAATTTGTACAACTATAAGGTGATAGAGAGTATTGCTTGACTTAGGTGAATTTCACATAAAGCCAAGTTTTTAGGGCTGTTGGTGGCTTCCAGCTGAATGTGGCATTATGAAGACAGCACCAGTCTATTAGAACCTCTTAGAGAGCTTTTTCAGAGTACAGTAATCTTCCAGTGTATGCTCTATCCTACCTCCAGCTGAGGCCTGCTGTTCTTGGGGATCCCCCTTGGTATGCTCTTAGCTCTTAAAAATTGCTAGCAGTGGGAGCCGTGCTCCTGTTAGAGCTAGTGGCTAAGCCCACAGGTGCAGTTATGCTTTTATTTCCTGGATTGCATGTATACACACCCATCCACCCCCAGTTTAGGATGAGAGGAGGTAAGAACTAGTTAGGTTTGTAGTGCCAGGCTGGCTTAAATTAAATTTGCTGGCTTGGATTTCTTATTTTGGTTATCACCTTACCCCCTAGGGAGCCAGTGACTGTTATAGAAGTTGTACCAAATAAAAAATCCCTCTGGAATTGTCTCTATTAAAAGAGACACAGTTGTTGATTCTTCTTTACTCCTGCTCTTTGGTGGCAGCTTATAGTATGGGTGAGGGCACAGTGACTGGGAGCTAGCATCCTTTGACAGAACCAGATCAGCAGAAGTATTATTCCCTAGCCCTGTGCTAGGTGATACCTTGTGGGCCCAGCCATTTAAATGCAAGCCTATATCTCCAAAGCATTTTCTAATACTGTCATTGCCCAAGTAGACCTTTACTTGCCTGGTCCTAACACCCAACTACAGAAAAATTTTCTTTGCTGGATAGCAGCTCTGAGATATTTCCTGTCAGCTGAACATGGTGATGCTCTCACAAACATCATTAGAGAGGAGAGGACACAGAAGTGAGAAAGTGCGGGTGGGAAGTCCTGGTAGATAGGCCCGACTCCTGAACCTTTTGGGGACGATGACACTGTAGCGCCTGAACTTTGTAACAGAGTGGCTATAGGGAAAAATGGATTCTGTGAAGGGTTTGCTCACTTAGAATGGCTTCAGTTACTAATGGCAAGAGTCTGTTAGGTTATTGACCCCTGAATATAGACATGGATTTGGAAGGTTAAAATGCCTATGTTTGGATATAGGAGTTCTGAGCTTTTATTTAATTAATGGATCCATTAAACAAAAGCATCCTATTTTAGATGGGTTGATAGAGATTTTCTGGATTGCTTCTGAAATACAAAGTAATTATTTTTAATATAATTTAATGACCTGGTGAATGCATTAAAACATTTCATGTGGCTTAAAATTATATGGGAAGAACTGAAAGTTTTTTTTGAAGATTATTGTATTAGAAGCATTATACATCTGAAAGCATACCATTAGTGAATGTTATACTTTCTATATCATAATTATTTTTAGCATATCTCTGTTGATAATTTGTGTGTATTACTGTTGCCCATTGTCTGACCGTGTGATCTTTCAGCTAAGTCCATCCTTTGCAGATGCTTTTACTGATTCTGCTATCAGTGCTAAAGTGAATGGTGAACACAAAGAGAAGGACCTGGAGCCCTGGGATGCAGGTGAACTCACTACCAGTGAGGAACTGGAGGCTTTGGAAAATGATGTAGTAAGTAAAGTCTTTTGCTTAGTATCACACTGTGGTCATGTGATGTGGTGTGACATCATTTGGTTTTAATTTAAGTATGTTGTCATCATTGTAGTGGATATATTTAAAGCAGTAGTCTTATTATCTAAATAAAGACCTCTCCCCAGGCAATAAATACAGACAAATGTTTGTTTCGGATGCTTATGAATGATTTCCATGTTTTTAAATAAATCATAATAAGCAACTTAAAATTTAAGTTGGGAAGCATGGGAAACTGGAAATACTGGCATGTTTTGCTTTAAATGCTTTATAGAATAAGGCAGCCTAAGGAAATTAGCGTCTTGTCTCTTGACCTTACCTAGAGGTACCACTCTTGGGCTTTTTGTCTGAGGAAGTGGTACTCACTATTAAGATAACATAGTTAAGTTGCATTAGAAATAAAGCAGAAAGTAGATTTCTTGGTCTTAAAATTAAGATCATTCCCCACAGAAATCTGCTGTTTCTAAAAGCTTTTTAGTGTATATTATTTTTACTTTTCCCATAACACATCATCTCTTAATCAAATGCTTAGTAGTAAGGACTATCATTAGGATTCTATAAATTATGTTTGTAAGGTAGATAGATAGAAAGCAAAATCTCTTGCCAAAAATGAGTGTTTAGGTAGCAACATTTGAATCGGATGAAGAATCTTCCATTGAATATTGTGGAGAAGTCTTTATAACAAATCTGTTTTTAATGTTTAAGTCCAGCTGTAACACTGAAAATACATAGGCAACACATTATTCATTTTCAGACTTTAAAGAATCCGATATAATCTAATGTGGGAGGTTTTCAGGTCTCTGCTAGTGGCTAAGCCCACAGGTGCAGTTATGCTTTTATGCTTTTATTATATATAATAAATATATATATATAATATGCTTTTATTATATATAATAAATATATATATAAATATATATATATTTATACATCACCTGATAGTGAGGTGGATAAACCGTTAAGTTGCCAGAGAGCATTCTGGCAATATTTATAAAAGTTTAAAACACACCTAGAGTTGGTCTCACCTCTGAGAATTTATTTTTGTCCTGGTATATCCATAGGACATGCAAATAATGATGTGTAAGGATATTTTTTGCAACATTATCCCTGATGGTGAAAAATTGGAAACATCCTGTCCATCAGTAGGGCATGGGTTAAATAGATTTATTGTACCTCCATTCAATTGAAATACTGTATTTCCACTAAAAAGAATGGCATTCTGATATGGAAAGATATTCAAGACTTATTAAAAGACCAAGCAAGTTACATAACAAGAAGATCCTATTTGAATTAAAAAGTAGATTGCTCTAACTGATCATGTTCTTAATGAATACATAGAGCACATCTGGAATTATGCCCAAGAAGTTAATAGTGGTTAACTATTGTGGCAAGATGATAGAAATTGTTAATGTAAGATATTGATTGTACTTGAATTAAAGAAGACAAATACTTTGTCATTTTGAAAAATAAACTATTTTCTTCTAGTCTAATGGATGGGATCCCAATGATATGTTTCGATATAATGAAGAAAATTATGGTGTAGTGTCTACATACGATAGCAGTTTATCTTCATATACGTAAGTTGAAAAAATTGGCTTTTATTTTACTACATTTGTCTTTTTCATCAACTTATATTAGGATGTTGAATAAATTTTTCTGTTGGATTTTTTTGAAAATTTATTTTACTTTTTTTTAAGAGAGAGGAAGGGGGCGGGGCCAGATTTAGAGGGAGAGAGGGAATCTTAAGCGGGCTCCATGCCCAGTGTGGAGCATGACATGGTGCTTGATCTCACAGCCCTAAGATCATGACCTGAACTAAAATCAAGAGTTGGATGCTTAACTGACTGAGCCACCCAGGCGCTCCCTGTCAGATTTTAAGTTAAACAGTTACATGAAAGAATTGATTCTGTTACTACTTAAGCTGATAGATTCTCATTAAAACAGGGAATAAATGTAGTTTAGTTTACCTGTATTCTAATTTTATGCTCTAGATAAATTTTGTTTTTGTTTTAAGTTGTAAAAGCTCTTAAGTTTGCAAGTGTAGATGTTATGGGAGAAAGTCAATTTAACCAGTTTTGGAAATGTTACATTCCTCTACGGAAAAGTGAAACAAAAAAATTTCTAATTTTGATTTATACATGAGCAGATCACTGTAACTCTTTTATATTTTTATCAGTCTTTCAAACTCTAAACTCTCTTAATAGTTGATTGGGACAGATATATAAACTGTGACTTTAAAATACTCACTTTGCTTTTTTTTTTTTCCCCCTCATGTCAGGGTACCCTTAGAAAGGGATAACTCAGAAGAATTTTTAAAACGAGAAGCAAGGGCAAACCAGTTAGCAGAAGAAATTGAATCAAGTGCCCAGTACAAAGCCCGGGTGGCCCTGGAAAATGATGATAGGAGTGAAGAAGAAAAATACACAGCCGTTCAGAGAAATTCCAGTGAACGTGAGGGCCACAGCATAAACACTAGGTATTTAAAGGAAATCATGATGCAGTATTTTGGATACACAACTCAAGGTCTGTGTGAGAAGGTGTATTATTATTATTATATTTCATCTTCCTTTAATGTAGCTTAGGTAGAGAATGCAAGTGGAATTGGTTTAAGATTCATTTAAAGAAAAGATTATAGTAATTTTGGAAAATATTTTTTGAGCATCAGCTCTGTGAAGCCAAGCGTTGGAAGTACAGTGATGAGCAAGCCAAGGTGTGGAAGAGCTACTTAAAGAAAAGCGATCAGATGGGGGGATGGTGCACAGAACATAACAGCAGTTCACTAGGATTTGCTAGATTAGAGGTGTGTCCAGAGTGAGAAAGAACTAGGATGTAACCAGTGGGGTCAGAGAAAGCCTCACAGAGGAGGTGACATTTTGTGATAGGATAGTAGCACTGTCTGCTGCCCGAAGAGAAGTAAGAAAGAGGCATTCCTTGCATGATGAAAACACATGTGAAAGAACCTGGCCAACCAGGGGTGAGGCTGGTTGTTTCATATGTCTGGAATACAGGGTGATGTTGAGGGTGCAGTGGTGGTAGCTGAAAGGAATTGAGGTAGTGAAGGGTTTGTGTCCTGTTAAAGAGCACCCTGCAGGCAGGGGATGGTGTGAACGAACTCTGGGACATTTGAGAATTGGCTGAAACATGGAGACCAGTTAGTGTATTGAAATTGTTCAAGTGTGAGAACTTGGTAACCATCTAGGCCAGGGCTTGTGAGAGAAAGGTTTGAAAAGCCATGGGTGAGCCTGAGGTTTATTTGATAACTAAGTTGATTGCTATTTGTACTGGTAATGGAGATAGAAAACATAGAGCAAATTTGAGGTGAGATAAGAGTGAGCCCTTTGTTAAATTTATTGCATTTGAGGGGCTTGCAGGTCTTTCATTCATTTATTCATAAACATGTTGAGAAACATCTACTACATACCTGGTAGGGTAAGATATAAATTCTTTCTTAAAGAAGCAGCTTATAGTCTGATGATTTGAATTAAAGTGTTGTTCCGTGGGAGCTGTTGAGACTGTGGGACTGGCAGTGTGGATTTAGGATTTGTCAGCGTTGCTGATGTTGAATGAAAAAAACCAGTGAATAGCCACAAAGAGAAGAAATTCAAGAGAAAACAAAGTAGAGAAAGCCAAGGACAAAGAAAGTTTTAGGAAGTCAGACCATATTTGATAGACTCAGCCATTTAGAGGTGAAGTAGGATGAGAACGAGCACAAATCTGTTGAATTTTTTGCTTAGGAGGAGAATCTGAGAGAGAGAGGAAAGGCCAGAGGCTAGACCTCAGGGTAACATGGAAGAATTAGGGGTATTTAGGAGTGAGACATTTTGTTTTAGTGTTTAACCTTTTTATAACAAGCATTCACTTCTGCCTCAATTTTGGATTTGTTTCATTGGCCTGGTATCTGTTAGGATAAAATGATTTAGAGGATCTCTCGTTTTCAGGGAAAATAAATATATTCCTCCTGGACAAAGAAATAGAGAAGTCATATCCTGGGGAAGTGGGAGACAGAATTCACCGCGTATGGGCCAGCCTGGATCGGGCTCCATGCCATCAAGATCCACCTCTCACACTTCAGATTTCAACCCGAATTCTGGTTCAGACCAAAGAGTAGTTAATGGAGGCAAGTATTTTGACCAAATTTGTCAATGTCCTCAATCAAATATATAGTTTTCTGAATATTTAAGTTTAACGTAATTGGTAAGAGCATGCACACCTTCAGTGATTTCTGTGGAGTAGTTTTTACTTCAAAATTATTTAAAATTTGCCTTTGTGGATATCAAATTAGTAAAATTACTGTAAGTCATTGATACATGGTATTTAGTGTGATGAAATACTCATGTATTAAGTGTTAAATTTAACCAAAGAGAATTCACTTGGCCAAAAAATACTCCACATATAAAGAAATTGGAAACTTTGGGTAGGTTCTCCAATTTTAAAAATACTGGATGATAAAACTACTTAAACATAGTTAATATGGAAAATCCTAGTCTGTGTGAGACAGCGGTTAATACAGATTAATTTTCATTAACTGTGTGCACATTTATATTCTGCTTACTTCAAGAAAGGATTTGAGGTAACTTGCTACACTAGACATGACCAAGAGTCATGTGAAGAAGATGAAGAAAGAAGTGTGCTTAAAAAACAATAAAAATAACTCTTAGTTGAAGGGTGGATATTGCAGTTTAGCGTAAGTACAGTGAAAGAGACTTGCATCTTTAGTAGGAAGATACTTTTCTGCTCTACCTCTAAATCTAAGATTGAGTATACCTCATAGGTCATGGATCTTTTATGTGAGTCAGGAATACTGGACAGCAGTACTATAGGCAATATGGAAATAGCCGTACTGTGTTCCCTAACCTAGGGAACAAAGTGGACATTCAGTTGAAGATATTTAGGTTGAGAAAGTTAGAAAAGGAGAGAACATTAAGTTTCCAATTTCAGTTGTTCCTGTTGAGTCTTTCTCCAGAATTCCTCTCCAAATGAACACTCTTGAGTATTTTCTGTACTTAGTATTGTGGGTGACATTTCTTTGCTCACTGGGTAAAGAATTTTAGTTCATGAACAGAATTTTCAAGTAAAAAACCTGAAGGGGGCTGGGAAATGTATGATACTCAAGTGTGTGGAACCCTATGGAGAGGAGACCTGGACTGTTTCCTAAGATTAAGGTAAGTGATACGTAATGTTACACATTAGCTATATCTTGACCTGTGCATATCCATCAGTGTCAATTTATTTGGTGATGACTGCTCTATAGTTGGCATTGTTTATTAAGCAGTCACTTAAATAAGTGTTTGTGTAAATTATTTAGCAGGTCCCCCCTCTTTTTCTAATTTGATAACATTAAAATGTTTTTTGAAAAGGCAATGAATATTAACCTTTGTCACTCCTGTGACTCTAAAAAATAGAAATAATGTTTTATTTCTACTAAATGGACTTGCTTAATCAGATTTAAACTAAATTTTACCTTCAAGTACAAACTAGATGAAAATCACAGATGGTTATATAAAAACCAGCATTTTTAATGGGATATAATAGCTGCTGCTTATTTTCATGTTTCAAAAGCTAAAACTAATATAGTAAGTAATCTTATTCCTGAGTTTTGTGATTTATTGTGTGAAATTACCTAGTTTATGTTATACTCCTTTTAATAATTGGTTATTGAGAAACAGTAACAGAAGCAGGATTAATAGGCAAAGTCTTAACTGTCTTCTTCAATAGTATGTGTAGATCCTAATTAACCCTTTGGGAACGTTTGTTCATTTAAACAGACTTAATTTTAAGGAGGTTAAAGTAAAATGTGAATTTATGTCAGTTAAGTTATGCTAAAACTTATCACAAATCAAATGACTGTCCTCAAAGGGTTAAAATGTACAAGAAATCATTTTTGTCATTTTACTTTTTTTTCTGTTTACTTTTTTCCCTCATTTTTTTCTTTAGTTTTTATACTTTCCTTCATATCATTTGTTCTGTCAGGTGTTCCCTGGCCATCGCCTTGCCCATCTCCTTCCTCTCGCCCACCTTCTCGCTACCAGTCAGGTCCCAACTCTCTTCCACCTCGGGCAGCCACCCCTACACGGCCGCCCTCCAGGCCCCCCTCGCGGCCATCCAGACCCCCGTCTCACCCCTCTGCTCATGGTTCTCCAGCTCCTGTCTCTACTATGCCTAAACGCATGTCTTCAGAAGGTACAATACCACAATTTGTTCATGTTTTTGTTTGTCTTTGTTTAACTCCTATGTGAGTTTATAATTACAAAATAGTTTCCTCTTCATTATTTAATAACCTATAATTTCCGTGTTTTAACTTTAGTTTATTAAAACTATTTCTATTAACCTTTTGTTCATTAGAGAGAAATTTGATAAATGCTGTGTGAAGCTATGAACTATCCTGGATTTTAAGGATGGGGGTTTATCTCTGCCTGGTGATAATGATGCTCCTTTACAGCCCCAGAAGGTCTGCCCCAGGTTTTTGTCCCTCTCAATATACCGTATAAACAGTGGTTAATGAGAAACAATGAACTTTCTTCACCCAGTATTGGACTTACTGTAGAACCTATCATTTTATAGCTCCTTGGCCAAGGTACTAGTGAACCTACCTGTTGGCCAAAGGCAGTAATGGTGATTTAGGGGTCCTTTTTGAGAGGGACATTCCATGTAGCTGCCTTTGTGTCTGTACCTGCTCTTAGATTATAAAACTGAGATTGGTTTTATGTTTGGGGAATTTAAGAAAATTAGCTTTGTAATATTTTCTAGTGAAGGTCTAATCTGTAAGAAGTCCTTGATCTAAGATAAAATATTCTTTTTTTTTTTTTTAAAGATTTTATTTATTTACCCAACAGAGAGAGACACAGTGAGAAAAGGGAACACAAGCAGAGGGAGTGGGAGAGGGAGAAGCAGGTCCCCCGCCGAGCAGGGAGCCAGATGTGGGGCTCGATCCCAAGACCCTGGGATCATGACCTGAGTCGAAGGCAGACGCTTAACGACAGCCACCCAGGAGCCCCTAAGATAAAATATTCTTAATAAAAACCATTTGCCCTTGTCAAAAAAAAAAAAAATCCTCTATTTTTCATGCAATGTTTGGTGCTAAATCCACTGTTGCTACCTATCGAATATATACTGTAGAAAGGTTACATTTTAATATAAATGCAGTGCATATGTTAAAAACCTATTTTCTGGATGTCAGGTACTTTTGATATTATTTCAGAGTATTTGTGTTAACGTGTTAATCTGATTTGTTCATTAAAATTGTAGTTGATAGAATTTACGCTGAGACTAATAAGAGTTTCCTGGCATAAGGTGCTTCCCTGGAGAAAACTATGTTGGCTACTTTTTTTTTTTTTTTAATTTTTTTTATTTATTTGACAGAGAGACACAGCCAGAGATGGAACACAGTGGGGGTGGGAGTGGGAGAGGGAGAAGCAGGCAGGGAGCCCGATGTGTGGGGCTCAATCCCAGGACCCTGGGATTATGACCTCAGCCGACTGAGCCACCCAGGCGCCCCTGCTGGCTACTTTTTAATAAACTGTTGCCATCCAGGCAGGAGGGAGGTCATAGGATCCTGACTAAAGTGGCTAAGCTTGAACAGCATGTTGCACTGATTTTCAAGGTGACTTCCTTGCTAGAAAGTGCTTGTAATGGTGGCCACTAAGTGAAAAGTTAAAATCTCTTGTGGTATTTGTTGTGGTGCATTGTTTGAGTAAAGCAGGACTCATTAGTGAGTATGAACGTCTTCACTATAGTAAATTGTAGACTGCTTGTGGAGGGACTATTCATGTAGAAGTAGACCTTCTACATATTCAGAGCTGCTACATTATCCAATTTTTTTTAAACTAATTTAAATTAAAATGTCTTCCAGTCATGCAGTTAGGTGACACTGAAGCATTTTTCAAGTGTGAACTTCAAACATAGAACTATTAAATACAGTGGTTTTCTGTGTTTAATATGGGAGCGTACTTTGTATTTTATGTATTAACAAAAAATGAATTTTTTTTTTTCCAAGTTAGAGTTTGATTTCATTGAGCTATGCCAACCAGCTTTCTTGGTCTTTTTCTCTAAATAGGTATAAAAAATTTATATGATGTGCATATACCTAATTCTTAAATTATTTTTTTATATAAATCACCTCTCCAGTTGAAAACTATAATACATAACGTTAATATTTCTTTTTAATATTGTGTTCATGATTAAATTTCTACTGATGGTACAAATTTATTTGACATTCTTAAGATTTTGACAGGAAGGTGAGGGTGAGGATGAGTTTTGCTGAGTATTAGCACTGTCTGGCTTTTCTACTGAGAGCCATTCTGTCCACTGATTTCACCTGATTGTTTTGTTCAAATGCAGAGTAGACTTCTTTAGAAATAGAAGTCACTAATGGGGTGACAGAATTAATGATCTAGAATTTTTGACCATTCATATACTGCAAATTTATTCTTCAAATGCCAGTTATTTTAGTCTTTCAGGTCATGCCTTTCAGCTCATAGCCTGTTCAGTCTGAGAAACTGCTTACACATGAAGACTGTTTTAAGGCATGGGTTGTAAAATTTATTGTCATGTTTCAGTAGTATAAAAGTACATAGGGATTAATAGTCTTTTTGTTTCAAAATCTTTTTTTCTAATTTTAGAAAGTTTGAGGGAAAAAGCTAAAAGTATGTGGTAAAATAAGACTTATCATGTAACTGTAATTTCTATTAATATTTTATTATGTTTATATGCCCATAAGTAATGGATATAGATTAAACAAATCAATAAAAATCTTTGGAGAGTTACAATATGTTTGATTTCTTAACACCAACTTCATCCCTCCTTTAAAAAAACAGGGAAATAATATAAAATTTATTTATAAAACCTTGTGGCATTCCACAAAATAATTCTGAAAGAATATGGCCCAAAATACGGTTTTTTGGTTTTGTTCTTTCTTTTATAACCAAGAAGAAACTAGAGAGAGAGCAACAGAGAGAGTGAGTGTGTGTGTGTATGTATGTATGTATGTGTGAATAGGGTTTATGTATTTAGCAGAAAAGTTGTACTGATGGACGTTGTAGCATTTATGTGATGTTCACTCTTCCTTTCTTAGGGCCTCCAAGGATGTCCCCAAAGGCCCAGCGACACCCTCGAAATCACAGAGTTTCTGCTGGGAGGGGTTCCATTTCCAGTGGCCTAGAATTTGTGTCCCATACCCCACCAAGTGAAGCAGCTGCTCCTCCAGCAGCAAGAACTAGTCCTGCGGGGGGCACATGGTCATCAGTGGTCAGCGGGGGTAGGTAACACTTGGCTTGGATCATAATGACAGTGTTCATTTTGTAACTCTGCTGCATGTGAAAAGGGCTGAGCTTAAGCTTTGTTTGAAGAATAATAAGTGTATATCTTAAAATTAGCGGAGTAACCAGGAATTGGGAAAGCTGTATTTTTATTCTGGCTTCCACCGCATACTCAACGTATGTTAGAGCAAACCATGTGATTATTCTGAATTTCAGTTTTCTCAATGGATTAGAGTAATTTTTGCTCTTCTACTTTATGGACTTGTGATAAGATGCATATGAGGTTCATAAGTTAGGAATGTATTTCATAGTTTTATAAAGTACCACTCAAATACAAAACAAATACAGTATGTAACATCATTTTGACAGACTGTATTTCCTGTCTTCTTTGCAATTTTGTTTTTGGATTCATTCTACAAACGTTTATTTGGGGCTTACAGTGCTGTGTATTTCTGTAGCATCTGTATATGGCACTAATTCCTGATTGTATTTTCCTTATAAGGAATATAAAAAACATACATGACGGACCCAAGTTTTATCTGTGATTAGCCCAAGGAATGTGCTGATAGCAGCTATAAAAGTATAAAAGATACATAAAAAGACTAACTGTAAGCTTAGTCCAAAACTGCTTTTGCTATTTAATGTTTTGCTTCCATGATAACTGGAGAGTTAGAACATGCCGTGATTGTGGTTTTTTATTCATAATCTGTCTTAATCAGCACATAGATTTTTAAGAGGGAAAAGATCTTTAACCTTAAAAATATACCCAACTCTATTAAATTTAGTCGATATACATTGCTTAGCATCATGAATGTATAATTTTATGGTAAATTCCTTTGTATGTTCTGTTTGGTCCTCCAGGAAGACCAAAGGAAATTAGATACTAGAAATTAGATATTAGGTATTGGAAATAATTCACTTAGCAAGAAAATAGAATTTCTAAAAATCTTTATTTCTTCAGTTGTACCATTCATCATTTGACATTACTCAGAGAATCTGGAAGTGAATTTTGAGAGTAACAACATAATTATAGAAGTGAAACAATAAAAACTTATTAGAAATACACACAGAATGGTGTTATAATTTCACTTTTTTATACTAATTATAAAAATGACAGTTGTTGGATAGTTTCCTTCCGTGACCCTATGACTTAAAAAAGTAAAAGAACCACTAAATTGAAGCAAAAGAACCATTTTCTCTAAACCTTTGAATCTGAGTTCTACAAATAGGTTTAATGGACTAAGAAACCTATTAGTTGTTTACTTGAGGGCAGGTGGAACAGGAACCCTGGTGGATTATCTTCTGCTTTTGGCTAAATTGGTTCTCCGATTTTCTTAGTTATTGTAAAGTGCCTCTTGAGGTGGCTAGAAAGAACATACAGGATTGGCTGCAAGCTGCCAAACGGTGTTTGAGTTTATTATTTGAAGGAGGAACAGATAAGCCTGTTTCTTTGGGATCTACCACCCCACTATTAAAGAAACATCTCACTTCTTAGTGGAGAATGTTGCTGTCTTCATCTTAAAAAGTGGGGTTAATCCTGTCTTAAAATCCAGTTTCTAATTTCATTTAAAGGTACTGCCTTTTAGAATTAATCTGTTTAGTTACAAAGAAAAACTACAGCTGTACTTAGATATTAGTAATTATTGTCATTTTTCAGGTATTTGTGTTTTCAGTCACCACCACTATTCCCTAAGACTTTTGAAAAGGAAACAGGGTGATGGGATAAAGAATAATTGGGATGGTCATTGACTAGGACTATTTTACCTAAATTTTCTAAGAAGCCTCTTTGAGGAAGTGACATTTGAGCTGAGAATGTAATGGATAATTTTTCTCTTTCTTGTAGTTCCAAGATTATCCCCTAAAACTCACAGACCCAGGTCTCCCAGACAGAACAGTATTGGAAATACTCCGGGTGGACCAGTTCTTGCTTCTCCTCAGGCCGGTATTATTCCAGCTGAAGCTGTTGCTATGCCTGTTCCAGCTGCATCTCCTACGCCTGCCAGTCCTGCATCCAACAGAGCTGTTACCCCATCTATTGAGGGTATGTAAGAGAGGGCTTCCAGCTCCATGTCATTTGTGAAATTGAATGACAAATGCTATGTTTATTCATAGTTATGTATTTGAGTATATACTTAAAATTTTATGTAAATGAAGTTGTTTAATACTACTAATTTCATATATGCTATTCTTGAATGTTTGTTGTTATGAGGGTTAACATTCCTAGGTAGTAAATATCAATATAAATAAAGTTGTTGGTGTTTCATTTATCTGCAAAGGAGAAAGCTTCTGGTTGAATGGAATTTTATTTTCCAAAAACCATAGGAAATAAAAGTTGTTGACTACTTTCCCATTTTACTTTATTATTATTTTTTTAAATATGTATTTTTTTTTAGCTAAGGATTCCAGGCTTCAAGATCAGAGGCAGAACTCTCCTGCAGGAAATAAAGAAAATATGAAGCCCAGTGAGACATCACCTAGCTTCTCAAAGACTGAAAATAAAGGTTAGAGTGTTAAAAAGTCTTTCAGTATAATTGTGGAAATAGGAAGGAGATGTCTAAACTCATGCCCAGTACAGATTGTTTTTGGTCAATACTTTTTCTTAGGATTGTGCACTTTTAAATGCATAATTTGACAGATGTCAAAATCTGTAATTAATATATTGAATAAAAGCTTATTTTCATTTTAAGTTAATTTTAAGTTAAAGATTTACAATAAGTTGATATTTAACAGTTTGTAATTTTATAGGTATATCACCAATTGTTTCTGAACATAGAAAGCAAATTGATGACTTAAAGAAGTTTAAGAATGATTTTAGGGTAAGTGTTGTTATTGATTGAATTAGAATTTTAAAAATGAATGTTAAACATTAAGAATTTTTATATCCTTCATTTACAAAAATGCATTATATGCATACCCAGAAACATTGAACCACGTCTGTAGAAAGCTAAGCATTCTTAAAGTTGTCTCTGTGCTTTTAAATTACTTATTTATTTTATTTCCCTTTTTTAGAGAGAGAGCTTGGGGGGTGGAGGGAATAAAGGGAGGAGAGAGAGACTCTCGAGCCAACTCTGGGCTGAGCGCAGAACCTGACACAGGGCTCGATCTCACCACCCTGAGATCAGGACCTGAGCCGAACCGAGAGTCAGTTGCTGTACCGGCTGAGCCGCCCAGGTGCCCCTGCCTGTGCTTTTAAGTAGGTAACTAAAATCAGGAGCTTTGAGAACTGTACAGATAACAAATGAAAGAGAATATAATTTTGACATTCAAAGCCAGTCATAACATGTTATTATTTGATGCTTATTTGATTACTGTATTCAGTGAAGAGTAGAGCAAAGCCGGGGCATTAATTATCCTGATGGGGCTAGTGGAAGATGTAATGGACCCTGGTGTTCTGAGGTAGTTGCAGATTTACCCTTTGTTCACAAACGTATTGTGGTAGAAATTGGTCTTTAATACCATTTCTCTGCCTTAAGTAAGACTTGCTGAACGTACTCTGATCTCTTTTGGATGAACATTGCATTCTTTCACAGTGTTTAATACACTTTGTATATCAAGTAATTTTGGGACCACTCAAGAAGTCATCCTGAAACTTAGTTTCTTAGAGGAAAAGATTGGATTATCAGCCTTTGGAAAAAACAACTGACTTAAGAGATGAATCAGTCAAAGGCAAAAGACAGCCTTTTCCTAGTCTGTGTTAGCTTCCTAAAAATTAATAATTTTTTGCTGATATCTTCATATTTATTAGCACCATTCAAAATATTACATATCATATTTTATCACAGTTCTATCTATTCAGCTTTAATGCTGTTAGTGGTTGTGAATTTAAATTTTAATTTTTTAAGCCATAGCTAATCCATGGACATGATACGGAGAATTATTTTTATTTTTTTTAAAGATTTTATTTATTTGACAGAGAGACACACAGCAAGAGAGGGAACACAAGCAGGGGGAGTGGGAGAGGGAGAAGCAGGCTTCCCGCTAAACAAGGAGCCCAGTGCGGGGCTCAATCCCAGGACCCTGGGATCATGAACTGAGCCGAAGGCAGACGCTTAATGACTGAGCCACCCAGGCACCCCGATTACGGAGAATTATGACTGAATGCCCAGATATCAAGCTTAACATGTCATGCACTCCAACACAGTTGAAGCCCTCCTGTGTACTTGGTCTCTTCAGCTGCATCCACCTGCCAGAGAGAAGGACTTTTTTCCTGTGCAGTTCTTTACATTGCATCTGAATAGATTCCTAAGGAATAAGTGATATTTTGCATAATCTTCCATTTGATGTAAGTGAGCTTATGCTATAGGTATTGCCTATTTCCTTTTATTCTCTCAGCATTACTTTTTACAGTCAAGCATTCAGTCCTTACTTACATTGAATTTATTATGAAGGAAAGAAAAATTTTTATTTAGAAGCATATGAGTAGTAGTTTTCTTGTAACAGTCTTATTGACATATAATTTACATGTCATACATTTTAGCCATACAAAGTGTACAATTCAGTGGCTTTTAGTATATTCACAGAATTGTACAGTCATTATCACAGTCAATTTTAGAACATTTTCTTCACCCCCAAAAGAAACCCCATACTCCTTAGCAGTCACTCCTCTTTTGCTTTCAAACACCTCCCCCTCACCCCTTTCCCTAGTTCTTAAACAGTCTGCTTTCTTTATATACAGTTGCCTATTCTGGACATTTCATATGAATGGAATCCTCATATGAGGCCTTTTGTGTCTAGCTTCTTTCACTTAGCATAATGTTTTCAGAGTTGATCCATGTTGGAGCATCTATCATTACTTTTTTTTTTTTTAAAGATTATTTGAGAGCATGAGAGTGTGTGTGCGAGCAGGGGGCAAGGGGCAGAGGGAGAGGGAGGGAGAATCTCAAGCAGACTCCCTGCTGAGCAGGGAGCCCATTGTGGGACTTGATCCCACAACCCTGAGATCAGAACTTGAGCTGAAACCAAGAGTTGGTCACCTAACCCAACTGCACCACCCAGGTGCCCCAGTACTTCATTGCTTTTTAATAATATTCCATTTTATGCATAGACCACATTTTATTTATCCATCAGTTGATGTCTCTTTGAGTTACTCACACTTTTTGACTATTATGAATAATGCTGCTATGAATATTAGTGTAGTTTTTGTTGTGAACATATATATTCATTTCTCTTGGGTGTATATATGTAAGAGTAGAATTTCTGGGTCCTGTGGTAACTCTGTCTTTAACCTTTTGAGGAAAATTTCCAGACTGTTTGCCAAAGCAACTTCAGTATTATATATTTCTACCACCAGCATTTAAGGATTTCTGTTTCTCCACATCCTTACCAACACTTGTTATTGTCTTTTTTATTATAGGCATCCTTGTGGTATCTCATTGTGGTTTTGATTTGCATTTCTCTGTTGGCTAACGATGTTGGGCATCGTTTTATGTGTTCATTAGCCATTTGTAAATCTTTTTTAGAGAAATGTCTGTTCAGATCCTTTGCCCATTTTAAAATCTGAGTTGTCTTACTGACTTTATTCTGTGTACAAGTGTCACATGTGATACATGGTTTGCAGTTTTTTTTCTACCATTCTATCGGTTGTCTTTTCACTTTCTGGATGTTGGCCCTTAAAGGACAAAAATTTTTTATTTTATTAAAGTCCACTTTATCTCTTTTTTGTTGCTTGTGCTTTTGGTGTCATATCTCAGAAACCATTGCTTAATCCATAGTCATAAAGATTTACTCTTATTTTCCTCTAAGAGTTTTCATTTAGGGCTATGATCCATTTTGAGTAATTGTTTTATATAGTGTGAGGGTAGATTTATTCTTTCGCTTGTTGCTCTTACTGTCCCAGCACCTTCTCTTTAAAAGATACTGAATTGGGGGCGCCTGGGTGGCTCAGTTGGTTGGTTGTCAGGTTCTTGGTTTTGGTTCGGATTGTGATCTCTGCGTCATAGGATTGAGCCCTGTGTCGGGCTCTGCACTCAGCGTGGAGTCTACTTGGGATTCTGTCTCTGTCCTTCCCCCAGCTTGTGCTTGCACTCTCTCTCTCTTTCTCTCTAAAATAAGTAAATAAAATCTTAAAAAAAAAAGATACTGAATTGAATAATCTTTGCACTCTTGTGGAAACTCCATTACTGGACTCTGAATTTTCCTCCATACATCTGTATGTCTCTTCTTATGTCAGCAACACACTATCTCAATTAGAATTAGTGTTTTTGTTTTGTTTTTTAAGGTGGGGGGAGGGGCAGAGGGAGGGGAGAGAGAGAGAGAGAGAGAGAGAGAGTCTTAAGCAGGTTCCATGCAGAGCGTGGATCCCAACACAGGGCTCAGTCTCACAACCCTGAAATCATGACCTGAGCTGAAATCAAAAGTCGGGCGCTTAACTGACTGAGCCACCCAGGTGCCAATAGAGTTAGTGTATTTTTAAAAAGCCTCATAACTTCATTTAGTAGAAAACATTTTGGTTCTCATATTATCAGTTCACAACTTTCTGTAAATCTTCTTTAACACTTGACTCTTAAAGTCCAAGTGCTTGTAGGATTAGAACTCTACCTCTGGGGCGCCTGGGTGGCTCAGTCGTTAAGCGTCTGCCTTCGGCTCAGGTCATGATCCCAGGGTCCTTGGATCGAGCCCCGCATCAGGCTCCCCACTCCGCTGGAAGCCTCCTTCTCCCTCTCCCACTCCCCCTGCTTGTGTTCCCTCTCTCGCTGTGTCTCTCTCTGTCAAATAAATAAAATCTTTAAAAAAAAAAAAAAAAAAAAGAACTCTACCTCTTTAGGAATTCTAATCTTACTACTATTGGGAGCCTGAATAATTGAATGTATTATTAAGTCTCCTACAAGTAACTTTCTGGTCCATAAGTGAGTACTGGAAAGCAAGGAAATGGTATTAAAAAATGTTTGAGGGTGAGCTTTATACTTCACTGAAGGTAAAATAATGTTAGTAGTTTACATATACTGAATATTTCCTGTGTACCCTATACTGTCCTAAGTGCTTATGTGATAAATCTTTTTATTGTCCTAACATCCCTCTGAAGAGGCTCTGTTATTATTTCCAGTGTGTATATTAGGAAACTGAGGTAAAGACAAATAATTTGCCGAGAATCACATGGCTAGTAGAAGGCCTGGCCATCTGTGTGTTTAGGTTTTTAGTACTGTTTTGGATAGTACCTAATGCATAGGCTATACTGCCACTGTTGAGTGAATGAATCCTCAGAGCCATCCTCATGATATGCATATGGCCTTAAACTATGGTGATTCACAGAGATCTCTGGTCTTTCATTGAGACAGAGATAGGAGTACTCTGTGGTTATATCTTTTTATTTTCCTTGACAGCCATCTGCAGGATCTAATACAGCTATGTGCACATTGCTGATAGTTTTATTTGTATAAGAATTGCTAGTAATTTGATCTGTTACAGATTAACAGTATGGGGTTTGGAGGTAAGTAGACTGTCTGGTTTGAATCTTCCCTTTACAAATACCATATGTATAACATTGAAGTATGTTACGTACTTCTCCCAAGCTGAAATGGGATTATTGTAGAACCAGTTTCAGTGTTCTTATGAGAATTAAGTGAGATACTACTATAAAGTGTTTAATATAGTACACGACACATATAGTGTGTATTCAATAAATATTCTTATTACCAAAAAACAACATACCCCAGTTTTTTACTGACAATCAGTATTTTCTTGTTCTGTAAGTCACATAAGAATTTCAGTTTTCCCATTAAATATCCATACTACCCAAAGCAACCTAGAGATTCAGTGTAGTCCCTATCAAAATTGCAATGGCTTTTTTCACAGAAAGAGAACCAACAATCCTAAAAAGTTTGTGTTAACTACAGTAGCCTTCAAATAGTCAAAGCTATCTTGAGAAAGAAGAGGAAATCTGGGAGGCATCATGCTCCCTGATTTCAAACTATATATAAAGCTCCAGTAATAAAGTATGTTCTTGGCATAAAAACAGACACATAGGTCAATTATACAAAATAGAGAGCCCAGAAATAAACCCATGCACATATAGTCAATTAATTTACAACAAAGGAGCCAAGAATGTAGAATGGGCAAGGGAGGGGCGCCTGAGTGGCTCAGTCGATTAAGCATCCGACTCTTGATTTCATCTCAGGTCATGATCCTTGGGGTCCTGGGATCGAGCCCCACGTTGGGCTCCACACTCAGCATGGAGTCTGCTTCTCCTTCTGCTCCTCTCCCCACTTGTGCACTCTCTCGCTCTCTCTCAAATAAAATCTTAAAAAAGAAAAAAAGAAGAATGGGGGAAGGGACAGTCTCATCATTAAATGGTGTTGGGAAAACTGGAAACCACATTTAAAAAGAATAAAGCTGGGGCATCTAGGTGGCTCAGTTGGTTAAGCATCTGACTCTTGATTCCAGCTCAGGTCATGATCTCAAGGTCAGGAGATAGAGCACTGCATCAGCTCCACACTCAGTGCAGAGTCTGTTTGGGATTCTCTCTCTCCCTCTCCCCCTTCCCCCACTCACGTGTGCCCTCTCTCTCCTTCTCTCTCTAAAATCAATTAAAAAAAAGAATGAAACTGGACCATCTTACACTCTACATAAAAATTAACTCAAAATGGAATAAAGACTTGAACAAAAACTCCTAGAAGGAAACATAGGCAGTAAGCTCCTTGACGTTGGCAGTGATTGGCAGTGATTTTTTTTTTTTTATTTAACATCAAAAGCAAAAGTAACAAGAGCAAAAATAATGCACAGCAAAGGAAACCAACAAAATGAAAAGGAACCTACTGCATGGAGGTAATATTTGCAAATCACATAACAGATAAGGAGTTAATATCCAACATATATAAAGAACTCCTACAGCTCAGTAGCAAAAAAAAAAAAAAAGAGGAAAAAGAAAAAATGGCCAAGGATGTAAATAAACACTTTTCTAAGAAGATATACAGATGGCCAACAGGTCCATGAACAGGTGCTCCCCACTAATCACCAGGGAAATGCAAATCAAAACCACAATGAGATACCGCCCATGCCTTTAGAATGGCTATTACCAAAAAATTAAGAAAATAACAAGTGCTGGGCAAGGTGTGCACTTTTGACAGAAACATAAATTGGCATAGCTGCTAAGGAAAACAATATAGAGGTTCCTCAAAAATAAAAAAATTAAAAATAGAACTACCATATGATCTAGCAATTCCATTTCTGGGTATTTATACAAAGGAAATGAAAATACTAACTCAAAAAGATAGCTGCAATGAACCCCCATGTTCATTGCAGCATTATTTACAATAGCCAAGACATGGAAGCAACCTAGGTGTCCATTGATGGATGAATGGATAAAGAAAATTGTGCATGTGTGTATATATGTATATACAAATGCACACACGTATATGTATCATAGATACAGATGTGCACATGTGTGTGCTCACACACACATATATAAGGGAATATTGAGGCATAAAAAGGAAGGAGGTCCTGTCATTTGCGACAACATGGTTGGACTTTGTGGGCATCATACTAAGTGGAATAAGTCAGACAAAGATAATTGCATAATCTCGCTTATGTGTGAAACCTTAAAAAAGAAAAAAAAACCTTCAGATACAGATTGATGGTTACCACAGGCAGCAGGCAGTAAAATGTGTGAATGGCATCAAAAGATACAAACTTCTATTTATAAAATAAGTCATGAGGGTGTAATGTTCAGCGTGGTGACTATAGTCAGTAATACTTTATTGTAATATTTGAAAGTTGCTAAAAGAATTGATCCTAAGGGGGCGCCTGGGTGGCTCAGTCGTTAAGCCTCTGCCTTTGGCTCAGTTCATGATCCCGGGGTCCTGGGATCGAGGCCCGCTTAGGTTTACTTAGTATACTGCAGATAGGAAATGTAGCTGAATGCTGAATAGCATGAACTGTGCCTTAGTTTATCCATTTGCAAGGTGGTGATAAAAGTATCTCCATCACATAGGTCTGTTGTAGCAAATAAATGAATGAGTTTGTAAATCATTTAGAACAGTGTCCAAACCATATATTCCATTATATGAGTAAGATAAAAAAAAAAAAAAGTCTCATTTTTGCCTAACTCAAAGACTTATTGTAAATACTCAAGAAATCTTATGCAGTATACAGTTGGTCTGTTATGTAGGTAGCTTCTACTAAAGATTTATCTGAACAAATGCTGGCTTAAATATTAAATGCCTATATTGTGACTAAAGTTGCCACTGGGTCCAAATAAATGATCCTATCACCTATTGCCATGAGCTGCTTGTGGATTCTGTAATTATTTTGGTGATGCAGTGAAGCTTGAGATGCCCCCAAGATGCCAGCATGCCAAGGGCCTGAGTATGAGACTGACATTTGTTTGCCCATCCTGAGGCTGGGGAGAGAGTTTGTTTCTGTCCAACCCTTGCAGTCCGTTCTTGCTGCCTGGGGCTGCTGCTGTATTCTCATGGCCACTTCGGCTGCTTCTACTTGGTGCCTTTTTCCTTCTCTTCTTCTTGTCATTTCCTTCAGCTGCTTGTTTTTTCTTTCTTTGGAGTATGGCATCTTCATTCATCTTCAGACAGTAGTAGCATTGATTTCTTCTAGCCTATAAACTTAAAAACCTCAGCACCTACTTCACGAACATCTTTGTCTTCTACTCTTCTTCATGGTACTTGTGTTTTGTACTTTCCTTCTTTAGTAAGGTTAGAAGGTCTAATTGAGCAACCTGTCTAGTCCAGCGTCCCTCTGAATCCACCTACTTCTGACTTGCCAGCCCACTACTTCTTGAGTCCAGGCCCAGGTCTTAGTCCACTAGTGCTTTTCTGTTTCTCCCTTTCCCTTGGGTTTTTAAACATGTTGTTTCTTTAGCTTAGACAATTCCGTTTTCCAAACTACCCCCACCTCCAGTCTTTTATACCTTAGACTAGATGATACTTTCATTGAGAAACCTTCTTTTTCTATAAATTGCTTTTCCTGTAGGATCCCATAGCATTTACCAAATTTTGTTAGGTATCTGATCTCACCCAGGTGGTAAGCTTTGTGAGGATAGGAACTGTTCTGTATTTTCCATACCCAGCGGTACAATTTCTGACACATGGTAGGTAGTTAATAAATACTTAACTTTTGAGGTTAGGACATGTGAGTGCCTAGATGACTATGGGTATTGTTGTATATATGTTCTGTTATTATTGCTTTATAATAAGTACATTATTCTTAAAGTATGTAAAAAGCCTTATTCAGTATATCTCATGCTTACAAATATTAGTTTGCTTATACTCATGGAGAAAATTGATTATAGAGTTATTTAAAATATTTAAGCATAATTATTTCCTTTATTTAGTTACAGCCAAGTTCTACTTCTGAATCTATGGATCAACTGCTAAACAAAAATAGAGAGGGAGAAAAATCAAGAGATTTGATCAAAGACAAAATTGAACCAAATGCTAAGGATTCTTTCATTGAAAATAGCAGCAGCAATTGCACCAGTGGCAGCAGCAAACCGAACAGTCCCAGCATTTCCCCTTCAATCCTCAGTAACACGGAGCACAAGAGGGGACCTGAGGTCACATCCCAAGGGGTTCAGACGTCCAGTCCAGGATGTAAACAAGAGAAAGATGATAAAGAGGAGAAGAAAGATGCAGCTGAGTGAGTAAACTTTGAATTGAGCACATCCTGTTACTTACTTTTTCTTAAAGTGTACAGGGGCTTTCAGCTCAAGAATCTCTCTAGACTTTTGGATTGCTTTATACGTAGCCCTCAAGTTGCAAATAACTGGTCTGACAGATGACATCTTAAGTAAATTAGGTCTTTGCACTGTGTACTCCTTTTCTTTCCCCATTTTTGTTCCCCATGGCCAGAATCTAGACTAAATTAAGAAAGACTTTTCTATAAATGTACAGGGAGTTTTGGGAAGTATATATCCTGGATGCTAGTCAGTACCCACCTCCTAGCCCACTGCTAGAACCAAGAACTGCTACTGCCAAGAAAAGAAAGAAGTATCTGTTGTCCCTACTTGGAATGCAGCATGTTTTCTGTCAGAAACAATGTTTTCGTTAATTGTTAGATTTGTTAAGATAAACTTAGTCCTCCACATTTGATGTATTATCAGTTGAATGGATCTTTGTGGGCTAGTCTCAGAACCTAACCACCGTTAATTTATCTGTTCATACAATCCATTTATAGCTGAACTTTTGGAAGGTAGCTTGTTGATCTGTCAAACAGTGCTTATTCTTCATATACGGCAAAAATTTTTATTAGAGTCATGATTCTTCCCAAGGTGTGTCATGTAGGCAAACATTTTGTCACATTAGAAAATATTGCATGCTAGGGGGCACCTGGCTGGTTCAGTCTGCAGAGTGTGTGACTCTTGATCTCAGCGTTGTGGGTTCCACCCCATGCTGGGTGTAGAGAGTACTTAAAAATAAAATCTTAAAAAAAAGAGAAAGAAAATACTGCATTCTAGAGAATTGGTATATTAGGGATTGCTTTTAGGGATATTTTGTCTTCTCAGTTTTAAGTTGATTTGTTAATTGCCTTTGAGAGAAGAATTAATATTAACACTTTTTTTAGTATTTGAGAGAGCGCACACACGCGTGTGCATGGTTTGGGGAGGAGTAGGGGGAGAGGGAGAGGGAGAGAATCCTCAAGCAAACTCCCCACTGAGTGCAGAGCTTGAGGCCGGGCTTGATCCCAGGACCCTGAGATCATGACCTGAGCCGAAATCGAGTCAGATGCTTAACCAGCTGAGCCACCCAGGTGCCCCCACTTTTTTAAAAATGCCCTTTTTTGGCCTGTCTTTATCAGATTAAGGAGTGGGAAATATGTGTATGCATTTTAATGAAGAGAATTAGTGTGATCTAGTAAGAATTGTTTATGTTTAGCGATTTTTTAAAAAGGCATAGAAGACTTGAGAGAAGCACAGGTTTCATGCAGATTTTACTGGCCCTTTTTAATTTTCCCCTGGTTTAGGCAAGTGAGAAAATCAACTTTGAATCCTAATGCAAAGGAGTTCAACCCTCGCTCCTTTTCTCAGGTAAGTTTGTTTCTCTCTTTGAAGTAATCATAGTCCCCCAAAAATAAATTTATTATTGGTAATAATAGTACTTTCCCCATACCTGCCATCTAAACTCACTTATAGGATGCTGAAACAACTTGTAGTTTAAGTTTCTTTTTCTTATATGGTCATTCATGAATATTTTTGAGTCATTGAAGAGATCTTGTCTTATTTTGTCATCAGTTAGATGTGATCTGTGGTAAATCTTTGAATCTTTCTGACTGGCTGGCTAGCTGGGCTCTAAGGTTTATAGATAAACTATTTTTATTCTTCTGAATTTATAAGCTACTTATTTTTTAATTTTTTAAAAACAGTGTCTTCAGTTCCTTAAAAATCACAACTATTTTTAAAGTCTTATCGATAAGTTGGCAATTATTGTAATTAATTGCAATTGAAATTTATTGTAATTTCTACCCAAGTGTTTTTCCCTTAATTTGAAACATGGAAGTTTATTTTCTAAAACTTTTTCATTAAAAGGCACTAAAAGCAAGTAGAACTTAGAAAGATGGGAAAGATCAGTTCTCAGATTGCAATAATAGTTAGCTTTCACCTTACGGTAATTGATTTTTATTTTTGTAGCCAAAGCCTTCTACCACCCCAACTTCACCTCGTCCTCAGGCACAACCCAGCCCGTCTATGGTGGGTCATCAGCAGCCAGCTCCGGTGTATACTCAGCCTGTCTGTTTTGCACCAAATATGATGTATCCGGTCCCAGTGAGCCCAGGCGTGCAAGTAAGTCCTGGATTTTGATGTTCATTTACCCTCCTTAGTTATGTGTATTTGACACCAAGCCCTCTCTCGGTGTGTGGTGACTTAAGGCAGTAACGGCAAAACAAGAATATTTGAAAGGGGGAGGCATGCGGTGGCACGGTGTGTTGTTAGTTTAAAAACCTAAATCTGAGAATGTTTTCTGGTGAGAAAGAAAGACGGCTTAGATTTATTCCAGTTTGGGGTTTGTCCTTTTAGGTGTGGGTATGATTTTATTTTTTAATGACTCCTGGAGAATCCGGAAACTTCAGAGCTAGCTCTCTAGCAATATACAACTAAGAGAAAATAGTAAAATATATTCTTATTACCTGAAAAGCCTAATATTCATTTTTTTTTAATTCCCTCAAGCCTTTATACCCTATACCTATGACGCCCATGCCAGTGAATCAAGCCAAGACATATAGAGCAGGTAAAGGTGAGAATAATCCTGCCTGTGTTTGCTTGTAGTCTGCATGCTGCATGAATCAAGTAACTCATTTATAATGAATGAATATTTGTACTTCACCTTTCACTTTTGATGAGCCTGTGCATTGACTTGTGTTACCCAACATTACATAAGGTATTTGGATACACTTCCCCCCCCCCCCAAGATTTATTTATTTGAGAGAGAAAGAGAAGAGGGAGGGGGCAGAGGGAGAGGGAGAAGAAGAGAGAAACTCGAGCAGACTCCTCACTGAGAGCAGAGCCAATCTCACAACCCTGAGATCATAACCTGAGCTGACACCAAGAGTTGGACGCTCAACGGACTGTGCCACCCAGGTGCCCCTAGATGCATTTTTATGAACAAGACTAGGGGAGGAGAAATGCTCATCAATTGTGATTCTTCAAGATCCTCTTCGAAAAGAATAATTGAATTTTTGAAGTTTTCATTGTTAAATTTGAAAAGAGTGTTTGCTAAATTAATTTCCCGGGTTGTTGACCTTTTTATTTCATACTAACATACAATCCCCCCTCCCCCAATCCAGAATTTCTTTTTGAGCCCGAGGGCATCGCATTTCAGCAACCATCAAAATCTTCATAGTAGAGGATGTTTCCTCATCTTTTTTTTTAATTAAGTTTTTTTTTTGAGATTTTTTATTTATTTTATTTATTTGAAAGAGAGAGACAGAAATAGCAAGAGAGAGCACAGGCTGGGAGAAGCAAGCTCCCTGCTGAGCAGGGAGCCCGATGGGGACTCGAGCCCAGGACCTTGGGATCATGACCTGAGCTGAAGGCAGATGCTCAACCAACTGAGCCACCCAGGCACCCCAACACATACTGATCTTAAAAGGAAATCTTTTAGGGCGCCTGGGTGGTTCAGTTGGTTGAGAGACTGCCTTCGGCTCAGGTCATGATCCCGGAGTCCCAGGATCGAGTCCCGCATCGGGCTCCGTGCTCAGTGGGGAGTCTGTTTCTCCCTCTGACCCTACCCCCCCCCAAATAAATAAATGAAATCTTTTAATGTTGGCAAATGCTAAAGGATGTCCTTTTTCGCCATACAGGTAGTTGAGAGCTATTAATTGCTATCATTTTATTAAGAAACTATAGAAAGTAAATGATTTATATTAAAAAGATACTTCTCAATGCCTAGTAATACCCTCCTGACCTAAAACTTTGACTTCTTAAATTAATAAGCTTTCCTCAGTATTTGAAGTAATCATTTTGTGGATGTTAATTAAAATTCTTAATTTTTTTTTTAAACAAGTATGGTATCCTTTGCCTTTGAACACTGGAATGTGTTGAAAGAACTGTAGCTTAGATAATTTGAAGTTATCTAGTTTTAAGATTAATCTTATTCTGTGGATCTAAAAAAATTCAGGTGGAGAAAAGATTCTTTTAGTGCCATGTTGAGTGAGGTTAATATTAAGGTGTTCCTTCCTCTTACACTGTTGGTGGGAATGGAAGCTGGTGCAGCCACTCTGGAAAACAGTATGGAGGTTCCTCAAAATGTTGAAAATAGAGCTGCCCTATGACCCAGCAATTGCATTACTGTGTATTTACCTCAAAGATAACAAATACAGTGATCTGAAGGGGCACCTGCACCCCCCAGTGTTTATAGCAGCACTGTCCACAATAGCCAAACTGTGGAAAGAGCCCAGCTGTCCATCAACAGATGAATGGATAAAGAAGATGTGGTATATCAATACAATGGAATACTACTCAGCCATCAAAAGAAAAATGAAGGGGCGCCTGGGTGGCTCAGTCAGTTAGGTTTCTGCCTTTGGCTTGGGTCATGGTCTTGGGGTCCTGGAATGGAGTCCCGCATTGGGCTCCCCACTGAGTGGGGAGTCTGCTTCTCCCTCTGCCCCTCCCCCTGCTCGTGTTCTCCCCCCCCTTCTCTCAAATAAATAAAATTTAATAAAAATAAAAATGAAATCTTGCCATTTGCAAGTATGTGGATGGAACTAGAGGGTATTCTAAGCAAGATAAGTCAGAGAACAACAAGTATCATATGATCTCACCTGTATGTGGAATTTAAGAAACAAAACAGAGGATCATAGGGGAAGAGAGGAAAAAATAAAATCAGAGAAGGAGACAAACCATAAAAGACTCTTAAGCATAGGAAACAAACAGGGTTGCTGGAGGGGAGGAAGGTGGGGGATGGGTTCACTGGGTGATGGACATTAAGGAGGGCACATGATGTAATGAGCACTGAGTATTATATGAGACTGATAAATCACTGACCTCCACCTCTAAAACCAATAATATATGTTAATTGAATTTAAATTAAAAAATATTAAGGTGTTCCTATATTACTACCTGGTTTTGGGATATTTTAATGATTATTTAAAACAGCACAATTTTGGGATGTTTTTATGTTAAAAATAATTGCAGTGAAAGCAAGCACTATAGTATGGCTCTGATGTGAGAGAGGCACTTTAACTTCAGGCGGCCGTGTCATTTCCCATAGGCAGAGGAGAAGTTAATGCGCTCTGAGGGACCCTCAGCCAGTGTTGTAGAGCCAGTTCTAGGAAGGTGGAACAGGCACACTACAAACAGCAGCTGTAAACATGTGCTTTGCCAAGAATGTGGAAAGTGACGTGGTAATTGCTTGGTCCATAATTCAGATTTGGTGATTATCAAGATTTCGCCATATTTATTTGAGGGGTGCTTTGTTTCTTTGCTGCAGTATTTAAAGTAAATCCCAGACACCATGCCATTTTATTTCTGCATACTTAGTGTGTATCCTTTCAAATATGGACATAATTTTCTTAGCTAGCCAGAGTGCTGTTATCACACTTTATAAAATAGTAATTCCTTTTTGTCTAATCACCATAATTACATTACGTTGGTTGAGTCATGTATATATTTTTACAGTTGGTTTGTGTGAATATGGATCAAAGTAATAAGATCCATACTTTATTACATTTATTACGTGTCTTTGTAATTCCCGTTTTTCTCCCTGCTATTGCTTTGTGGCAGAAACCAGTTGTTAGATAGGAATGTCCCATATTCTAAATTGTCTGTTCACTTCTTGTGATGTCATTGATTACATTCAGGTTTAATTTTTTTGTGGGAGAGAGGTAGGAATATTTAATAGATGATTGTGAGTTCTTTATAGTGGATCATTCAGCAGGTGTACAATATCTGGTCCTACTTTGATAATTGGTAAAATTAAGGGCTTAGGTGGTGATAGCCCAGTCCTCCCCTCCCCAGATGGAAAGTTTTCTGTTACTCTTTCATATAATTTGTTAGGGCGCTGGTTCTCAAATTTTAGTGTGTATCAGAATCACTTGGTGAATTTGTTAAAAACACAGATTGCTTAGCCCCAGCCCCAGAGTTTCCAATTCAGTAGGTTTGGGATATAGCCTGAGAATTTAAATTTCTAGTGTAGCTTATAAAACCAGTTCCCTAGTGATGCTCATGGTCTGCGATCATACTTTGAAAATCATTGCAGTTAGGAGTTTGAAAACAATAATTTCTGAATTCCTAGCATTTCTTTTCTATTTATTAACTGGAATCATCCTGTAAGGGACTGTTCTTTTCAACTAGGGCTGTATATGGTTATCCTCAGATAGTTGGTACAGGAAAGTTAGAATAAATGCTAAAATTTAAGGGCTTAAAATTGCCTTAAGTGCCAGTTTTCAGGGAGGAGTTGGTGCCCTTGATACTTTCCAGTAGTGTCTAGTGAAATTGTTCGCTTTGAAAGATGTCGCTGTCTCCCCTTTTATTTTTTAAATATTATGAATGCATGGATTTTCATATACTTTTATATATTCATTGTGTTTCAGTGAGTTATTCTTTTTGCTGCTCCTGCTGTCCCATCTTTTATCAATGGCAATCCCTTTACGTTGGCTCCTGTGTCCTTTTGGTACTACTCATTTGTCTTTTTTTAAAGATTTAATTTATTTATTTGAGAGAGAGCACGCATGAGCAGGGGAGAGTGGCAGAGGGAGAAGCCGACTCCCCGCTGAGCAGGGATTCCCGACATGGGGCTCAATCCCAGGACCCTGAGATCATGACCTGAGCCGAAGGCAGATGCTTAACCGACTGAGCCACCCAGGCGCCCCTCTTCATTTGTCTTTGATAACTTCCTTAGTTTCTGCTGTAAATAAGATGTTTCAGGCTAATCTTTTTCTAAACCCAGACTTGGATCCATATTCCTTCAAGGAGTCCTGATTCTTCTTGCGGAAATGGTATTTATAAACCGTTTTCTGGTCTTTGGGTGTGCTGTTGAGTTACTGTGTCTTGGCCTTTTCAGTGGACAAAATTAGGAAATTCATACTGATATATCTAATTCAAGTTAACATTGCAAGATTTTTACAGTGACTTTTTGCTTGCAGCTCTTTTTCTTTTACATTGAAAATTTTCTAAAAATAGTAACTGTATTATCCTTTTAAAAAAGAAAAAGGGGCGCCTGGGTGGCTCAGTCGGTTAAGCATCTGCTTTTGGCTCAGGTCATGATCGCAGGGTCCTGGGATTGAGCCCCGTGTCGGGTTCCCTGCTCGTTGGGAGGCCTGCTCTCCCTCTCCCACTCCCCCTGCTTGTGTTCCCTCTCTCGTGGTCTCTCTCTCTGTCAAGAAATAAATTAAAAAATCTTAAAAAAGATTTTATTTATTAGAGAAAGAGAATGGGTAGGGGCAGAGGGAGAGAATCTCATCCCAACTCTCTTCTGAGTGTGGAGCCTCATGTGGGGCTCAGTCTGACAACACTGAGATCATGACCTGAGCTGAAACTGAGAGTCAGATGCTTAACTGACTAAGCCACCCAAGTGCCCCTGTATTATCTGCCTTTTACAAATAACCACAGAGCTTAGCTGCCTGAAACAACAAACAAATTATTTCACACAGTTTCTCAGGGTCAGAAATTCAGGAGTAGCTTAACTGGGTGGTTCTGCCTCAGTCTCTTATGAAGTTGCAGCCAAGATGTTGGTTAGAACTATAGTATCTAAAGGGTTAAATGGGACTGGAGGATCTGCCTCCAGATTCAGAGCTA